CAGTATAAAATTTTGATTGGTTTATTGCAGAAATGTTGAAGACCGTGAATTTGTTCGAGACGAACTCGCAGTGGGCGGTGATAAGCACTTTCTTTCTGCACAGTATGGGGATGAAGTTAACTCGGGAGACGTTGGAGCATCCGAACACCAAGAAGCTTCTTTCTTCCGGGGAGGAATTTGATCTGGTGGTCATCGAGCAGTTCGTGAACGATGCCCACAAGGGTTTCTGTCATCATTACAAGGCGCCGTGCGTGATTTTCTCGGCCGTGGGCAGCAATTACTGGACCGACGACCTTGTGGGAAATCCTAGTAACCCAAGTTATATGCCGGAGATGAGCATTGCTCATGCTGGTCCCATGGACTTTTGGCAACGTGCGAAGAATACCGCTATAGCCGCATACACGCAACTATTCACTCACCTCAAGGCCATTCCCGATCACGACCGATTGATGCACGAGACATTCCCCGACGCTCCGCCTCTGAAAGAGTTGATGCGTGACACCGCCCTTGTCCTGCTCAATTCGCATCCTAGCATTGCCGCTCCCAAACCGCACGTCCCGAATATGATCGAAGTCGGCGGTTTCCATGTTGAGCCGCCGAAGAGCCTTCCCGAGGACATCAAAGCTTATCTGGATGGAGCAGGCAAGGAGGGCGTGATCTACTTCAGCATGGGCTCCAATCTGAACAGCAAGAATTTCCCGTTAGAAAAGCGAGAAGGTATTATGAAGGCTCTCTCAAAATTGAAGATGAAAGTTCTGTGGAAGTTCGAGGACGATAATCTTCCGGGGAAACCACCGAACGTTATGATCAAGAAGTGGTTACCGCAGCAGGATGTGCTGGCGCATCCAAATGTTAAACTTTTCATCAGCCACGGCGGTATGCTGAGCACCATCGAGGCCATCTACCATGGAGTTCCGGTGCTGGGAATTCCGGTTTTCGGGGATCAAACTATGAACATGAAGCTTGCCGTGCAAAACGGATTTGCTGTAATGACAAGCTATTCAAGTCTCAGCGAGGAAACACTTGGAGCGGCTCTAAATCAAGTTTTATCCAATCCAAAGTACGCGGAGAACGCGAAAACGCGCTCGAGGATCATGCACGATAGACCAATCAAACCCAAAGACTCGGCGATGTTCTGGATCGAGTACATCGGTAGGCACGGATCGGCCGACCATCTAAAATCCCCTGCCATCCACCTGCAACTCCATCAAGTTCTTTTGCTCGACGTCATCGCCTTTTACGTCTTCGTCTTCATCATCTCTCCGCTTTCAATTTATTACGCCTTAAAGAGAATCTGCAGGTACAAAAAAGCCGGTAAAATAAACAAAAAGAAAAACAAATGATTGAATTAAATGAAACATTTTACATAAGTAATAATAATAAAGAAACAATTGCTCTCCAAACATATTTAATATGAATTAATAACCTTCCACTACGTTTACTTAAATATGTTAGCCTTCTCTAATTATTTCAGTAATTATTCATATTCTGACATTGACACATGTTAGCAATAACTTGTTAAATAATTGGCATTATAATCGTTTGTTATTTAAACTTTGATCTTATCTATTGATGTTGTTTTATAAATTTGCAATTGCGTGTCGGAGCAGCAAAATCTGTTATGATCCATGCCGTTCAAAGTCACTACGAACTTCCTAACATGTTTATAAAGGAGGGCAGCAGGTCACTGCCACTGAACCCTTTGAGGAATAAGAAAAGATGATCAACCACAGGACAATACAAATCGAAACAGAATTTCTTCTATATTTCTTATAATATATTTGAGACTCTTTAAAAAATGAAATGAATTAATCAACGGAATGAGTAGTTTATTTCAGCAAGGGTTCGGTGCTGAAATCAAGCCTTGTCCCAAATTAGAAACAAACATTTATTTGATTTTTTTTATGTTTTATTTTTATTTACATTCGCCACAATCTGGCAATAAGTAAATACCGGTTTATCTGATTACTACACAAAACTATCTTATTTTATATAAAAATGAACGAGTGTTTGCCAAGTATTTTTTGTGTGTGTAAAAAATTCTTGGTTTTTGTTAGATATTTTAAAAATTTAAATTTAAATCGATGATTCGATCACTGCACCATCAACAATTAAAAATTTTACATAATTCTTGATATCTCAATAAGATAAAATTATATGATTTCATCAACGTTTGAGCAAACGCGACTTGCTTATGAATCACTAGAGGTCTGGTGTTCGGCGCGCGCGGTTGGTACTTAAATTTCTCCGATTTTTAAAAACAAGATGCGTCTCTGGGAAGCAGTTCTTCTGATTCTAGCGGTGGTTGGCGGAGATGGTCTCAAGATCTTGGGGATTTTCCCGTTCGCTTCGTACAGCCACAACTCGTTGGGAAGCAAACTGATGAGAGATCTGGCGGCGAGGAATCACCAGGTGACTTTCATCAGCGCATTCGAGGAGAAAAATGCGGCGAAGAATTTGAGGGTAGTGCACATGAAAGGGGCATATGAAAACCTGCAGGGTGAGAAGGAAACCGTTCAAAATTTAATTATTACTTTTTTAATTCGTTTATTGTAGAAATGTTTAAGAATGTGAATTTATTCGAGTCGAACTCACGGTGGATGGTGACAAACACTTTATTAGTACATGGCATGTGGATGCAGATTACTCGTGAAGTGCTGGAGCATCCGAACACCAAGAAGCTTCTTTCTTCCGGGGAGGAATTCGATCTGATAGTGATCGAACAGTTCTTGAACGATGCTCATAAGGGATTTTGTCATCACTATAATGCGCCGTGCGTGATCTTCTCGGCGGTGGGCACCAACCATTGGACGAACGACCTGGTGGGTAATCCCAGTAACCCAAGTTATATGCCCGAGATGATCATCGGACATGCCGGTCCCATGGACTTCTGGCAACGTGTGAAGAATACCGCCATAGTTGTATACACACAACTCTTCAAGCACCTCAAGGCCATTCCCGATCACGACCGATTGATGCACGAGACATTCCCTGACGCTCCGCCTCTGAAACAGTTGATTCGCGAAACAGCCCTCGTTCTGCTCAACTCGCACCCCAGCATCACCACTCCCAACCCGCACGTTCCGAATATGATCGAAATAGGCGGTTTCCACGTTGAGCCGCCGAAGAGCCTTCCCGAAGACATCAAAGCTTTTCTAGATGGGGCAGGCAAAGACGGTGCAATCTACTTTAGCATGGGCTCCAATTTGAAGAGCAAGAGTTTCCCGTTGGATAAGCGAGAAGGCATTATGAAGGCTCTCTCGAAATTGAAAATGAAAGTTCTGTGGAAATTCGAGGACGAAAATCTTCTAGGGAAACCATCGAACGTTCTGATCAAAAAGTGGTTACCACAGCAGGACGTGCTGGCGCATCCGAATGTGAAGCTGTTCATTAGCCACGGCGGTTTGCTGAGCACCATCGAGGCTATCTACCATGGAGTTCCGGTGCTGGGAATTCCGGTTTTCGGGGATCAAGCCATGAACATGAAGCATGCCGTGCAGAACGGTTTCGCAGTAATGACAAGCTATTCTACTCTTAGCGAAGACACATTTGGCGAGGCACTGAATCAAATTTTAGCCGATCCAAAATACGCGGATAATGCCAAAATGCGTTCGCGAATTATGCACGACAGACCAATCAAACCTAAAGATTCGGCGATGTTCTGGATCGAGTACATCGGAAGACACGGATTAGCCGATCATCTCAAATCGCCTGCCATTCACTTGAAACTCCATCAAGTTCTATTACTCGACGTCATCGGTTTTTACCTCTTCGTCTTCATCTTCACCCCGCTTTCAATTTACTACGCCTTAAAGAGAATTTGCAGGTACACGAGGGCTGGTAAAATAATCAAAAAGAAAAGTAAATGATCCAATCTTAATTATTATTTAGATTTAGAACCTTTCGCTGCAATTATTTAATTATCCAATTATCATTTTTAATTTATAATGTTAGATAATATATATTATAGCTTTATCTAATTATTTCAGTAATTGTCACTGACATTGACTCATGTAAGCATTAATTTGTTAAATAAATGGCCATTATCATTGTTTGTTATTTGAACTATGATTTTTTCTATTGATGTTGTTTTGCAATTGCGTGACGGAGCAGCGAAATCTGTTAGGATCGATTGCATCCAAGGCCATGAATTAACGATAAGGCCTTAAGTTCGGTTCGCAAACGAATGTCACGTCCAGTCGTGATTCAACTATGCTAACGAAATTGTTACTTCTGTTCGCGGTCACGGCCTGCTTCGGTCCGACGGTGGAATCGGCCCGGATTTTGGGCGTCCTCCACGTACCTTCCTACAGTCACCATGAACCTCCCAACATGTTGATGAAGGAGTTGGCGCGCAGGGGCCATCAGGTCACCGTCATCGGACCATTCGAGGAAAAGGAAAAGTTGAACAACTACAGAAAAATACAAATCGAATCGGATATTCCTCTGCAAGGTGGAGTTACAACATATTTGAGACACTTTTAAAATAATTATTTAAATTTCAGCGGATGGTCAAACTCTGTTCGAAATTCTTCGAAAGGATTTGTTAGTCTACAATCAGCTGATAATCGATTACTGCTTTGCGATAACAGAAAGGTTCTTCAGGAATTCGAAAGTTGTGGAGTTTCTCAACTCCGACGAATCTTTCGACCTGGTGATCATGGAGGACTTCATCAGCCCAAGCTTGCGCGGAATCTGCCATCGTTTCAACGCGCACTGCATCACCTACTCCTCGATCACATCTATAGCTTATATAGATCATATTGTAGCCAATCCAACACCTTTATCTTACGTTTCCGAGTTCACTCTGGCCTTCCCCGATCATCTGAACTATCAACAAAGATTCCTCAACACCCTCCACTACGTTTACTCTCTCTACATGTACCATTACGAAGTTGTTCCTAGACACGACAAACTCATGAAAACATATCTACCTAACTCTCCAGATCTGAACGAAATCAACTACAACAACTCTTTACTTTTGCTCAACTCCCACATCAGCTTCCAATACGCCAGTCCTAAAATGCCCAGCATTGTGGAAATCGGTGGTTTTCACGTAAAAACCGAGAGAAATCCTCTGCCCAAAGACTTAAAAACCTTCCTTGATTCATCTACCGAAGGAGTAGTTTATTTCAGCATGGGTTCGGTGCTGAAAAGCAAGGATTTTCCTGAAAAGAAACGGGATGAAATTATGAAAGCGTTATCTCAAATTAAATGCAAAGTGCTGTGGAAATTCGAGAATGATCAAATGGACAATCTTCCGAGCAATGTTAAGACTTATAAATGGGTTCCGCAGCAAGACGTCTTAGGTAATATTTACAATTTCTCCAATTATCAATACAAATTTCTTTAATTTTCAGCTCATCCGAACGTGAAGGCGTTCATCACACACGGCGGATTATTCAGCACCATTGAAGCAGTCTACTTCGGTGTTCCAATCATAGGAATTCCCGTCTTCGGAGATCAAAGAGCCAACATGCTTTCTTGCCAAAGAAAAGGCTTCGGAATCGCACTGGATTACGCCACTATAAACTCTATCGATCTACTCGCGGCTCTCGAAAAAATCCTTAAAAACCCCAAGCAAGTTTCAAACCAAACAAAGAAATTAACCAAATCTAATAGTGTTGTTATATTAAAGGTATATGCAGAACGCAAAATTGAGATCATCTCTGATGTTGGATCAACCTTTAAAACCGATGGAAACAGCTATCTTTTGGATTGAGCACGTGCTGAGGACAAAGGGCGCTCCGCACTTGAGACCCGCTGGTTTGGATCTTCCATGGTATCAGTATCATCTGGTGGACGTGATCGCTCTACTCGCTTTAATCAGTATTACGTGCGTCTCGTTGATTGTGCTTTGCGTAAACAGAATCGCGTTTAAAAAGAAATCAATTAAAGTCGATTAACGAAACGCGTAGTTTAAATTTGTACAAATATAGATATACTTTAAAGTACTGTTTGTTCTCATTATAAAATGTTATGATCAAGGAATTGCATAATTTGTACAAACATATTTTGTTTATATGTATCTTATTAGTGATTACACAATTTAATATATAAATTTAAATTTTAAAATAACTTTTCTGTTGTTTTGAATTAACATCCTATTATTATTATCGTGCGGTTGACAATTCTAGGAATCTTCACTATACTATTTTCATTTAGAATTCCATGCCTATCCGCAACTTTGTGGTGTACCGATGATTTTCTTATAATAATTGTAATAACTGTAATAATTTACATTTTTATATGACGTAGACCACAATTTTTTATAAGAAACTATATAAAATTAGTTTTTATTACGTAATATTATTTTTAATACATAATTTATTGAATTATGCATGATGGTAATGTTTAATGGTAAGAATTTATGCAAAAAAACTCAAGTTAAATAAATGGTTACGACTTTTGAATCAGAAGTTTCTATTAAGACAGATAATTTTTGATTTAATATATGTGATTATTATATTTTATTTACGTAAAATCACTAAACATTTATAACAAACTTTGTTATAGAATAGAATTTAAGATCATACAAAATTTAAAAAAATGTATTCTTCGACATATATTTTATTAGATTTCTTTCTTCTTTTGCATAAGGAAGTACATGCGAGGGTAGTTCAATTTGATTTTGGTCATCGCGTTAACAGATGTGTGAACTGGTGCATTGTCTTGATTGTGACCAAACGCGGCACCCATTTTGCACAGCTTCCTCATCTCCAAACTTTCAGTCAATATTCGATGTACAGCAGTTTTTGAAATGTCTACCATGTCTGTTAACTCGCGCACTTTTAGTCGACGGTCATCCAAAACTATTTTGCGGTGTGGTCACCTCATTTGTTCGATCATTGCGATATTCGTCTTGGCATCTCGTACGGCTCTGCCACCTAAGATTTTTTGTTGTAGTCGAAGTAGCAGACTCCTCCAGAGTAGAATCTGGCTCGACTTTGATATTGTTTGGAATAAGTTCTTGTAAATGAAACTATATGTTTACAAATTTGCTGACAGCGTTCAGTATTGTTACGTGTCAAACAAATACTACATTTGATTCTTAAAAAAAAAACATTTATACGTGAGGTTGGATGCTTCTGTTTTCTTGAATTGTTATTTAAAGAATAAAGTTTAAGATTTTTTCTTAAATTAATATAAATAAAATGGTTTTTTTTTTAAATTGTACACTATTTATTATGAAAATTAATATTTTTTAATTAATATAAGGTTTTGATCAATTCTTCTTTGACACTTAAGTTTTTAAACATATTCAAAAAAGAATTGCAAAATATAGTTTTCTGGTTGATTTTAACAATTTTTTGCAAAAAAAGCAGAAATATAAATAAATTGTTTTTTTTTCTCCGAAATTTTTGACGAAAGAATATTTAAATCATGTAGTACATGAATATTGATTTATTAATTTAGTTCATTTATTATGAATTATATTTACAAAAAAAACTGAGAAATGTTCTGATTTTAAAATATATTTAAAAAATAACTACAGAACGTTTTATACATTAAACACACTTAATTGATTCCGCGTTTATTTCTTTGATAACTAACTGGTAAACAACAACAAATTTTTCATCTTATTGTTTTTATTCAATAAATTCAGAATAATCGTAACACATGTTTCCAGATAAATATAATTTACAATACTTTCTCTGACCGTTGGCTGTTATCTCTCAACGAACAATGTCAAGAAACTCTCGTTTTCGAGTCAGTCGCCTCGAAGTCCACAGACACGTTACCTCGAGTATTGAAATGATGTTTTTACTGCTATTCACTATATTTTTAAGTCTACAATGTGCGCAAGGAGCCAGGATATTAGGTGTCTTTGTGGTGCCTTCCTACAGCCACTTCTACCCTCCAAACGAACTGATGAAGGAGCTGGCACGAAGAGGACATGAAGTCACGGTCATTGGACCATACGAGGAGAATGAAAACTTGGTTAATTATACGAAGATACAGACTACATCGATGTTTCCAATCAACGGTTCGAAACCAGTTGTATTCTTAACAATTTCAATTATTATTCTGTTTATTAAAATAGGCGATGTGGCAACAAATTTGAAATTTTTCGTAAAGACATATTCGAAAACGTCGGATTCTTGATGGACGTCACCTACGGCCTGTACGAGAGGATCTTCGCCGAGCCCAAAATCGAGGAATTCTTAAAGTCCAAACGGCGATTCGATTTGGTCATAATAGAGAATTTCTTGAGTCCCAGTTTACATGGTTTCTGTCATCATTTCGACGCACCGTGCGTCGTTTATTCTTCGTTAACATCCACCTGCTACGTCGATCCTCTGATGGGTAACCCGACGCCCTTATCCTACGTTTCCGAATTCTATTTAGGCCTGAGCGATAAATTGAATTTCAGCGAAAGATTCTTAAATTTGATCCATTACCTTTACACCAATACAAATACCATTTCCACGAGATCCCCAGGCAGAACGCCCTCACCAAAAGGGTCTTCCCGAAATCTCCAGATCTCTACGATATTTTATACAATAACTCGCTTCTTCTACTCAATTCGCACAGCAGTTTCAGTTCTGCAAGACCTAAGATGCCGAGCATCATTGAAATTGGTGGATTTCACGTGAAAACCCAAAGGAAACCTTTACCTGAAGACCTGAAAGTCTTCTTGGATTCGTCTACCGAAGGGGTGATTTATTTTAGCATGGGTTCGATGCTGCAAAGCAAAGATTTTCCCAAGAACAAATTAGATGAAATTGTGAAAGCCTTATCGCAGATTAAATGCAAAGTTCTATGGAAATTCGAGGATGATCGAGTGGAAAATCTCCCTGGAAATGTTAAGATTTACAAATGGATTCCACAACAAGACGTCTTAGGTAACAAATACTTATTAGAGTTTGTTCAAACAAACAATAAATAACAAAAACATAATTGTTATGTTTAATTATTGAAAATTCAAACGTTATTGTCTTTATTTAATATGCAAAAACAACATATTAAATTATATATAAATTTTATCAAAAAGTGATGGAAAATATTTAGTTTATTTTCATGTTATAATCGACCTTTTTCATAAATCACTATTTTAAGAATGCCTGAGTCGCATATAAAGTAAATCCTTTGTAATTATTGTATCTAAAATCATATAGTACAGTTTTTGGATTGGTAAAAACCTGATATTAAAAATATTGACAATTTTCTTCGTATTTCTACTTTTATTTTTAGCTCATAAACACGTGAAGGCGTTCATCACGCACGGCGGATTATTCAGCACCATTGAAGCAGTCTACTTCGGTGTTCCAATCATAGGAATTCCCGTATTCGGAGATCAAAAAGCCAATATGCTTTCTGCCCAAAACAAAGGTTTCGGAATCGCCTTGGATTATGGCACCATAAACTCAATCGGTTTACTCTCAGCACTTCGCGAAATCCTGTACAACCCTAAGCAAGTTTTAAACTATATAAACAAAATTACCAAATGTAATAATCTAAATTTACAGGTATACACAGAACGCCAAATTCAGATCATCCCTGATGTCGGATCAACCTTTAAAACCTATGAAAAAGGCTATCTTCTGGATTGAGCACGTGTTAAGAACAAAAGGCGCTCCTCATTTGAGACCAGCTGGCTTGGATCTTCCTTGGTATCAATATCATCTTCTAGACGTTATCACACTACTCACCGTCATCAGTATTACGTGTGTTACGTTAATTGCGCTTTGCATAACGAAACTGTCGGTGAAAATAAAATCGATTAAAGTCGATTGACTTTTTTGAATGAATCACCGATAAAGAACCGTTATATTCAGTTGTCCATTAATGATTGTGTGTGTGTATGTGTTTTGGAATTAATAAACAATTAAGAATTGCAACTTGATAACAGAGCAGTAGCAATTAGAGACGTTTCCCTTGGAATTTACAACCAAGTGTAACGTTACGCCACAAAATTATAAAAAGTGAAGAAATTAGAAAAAAATATTTACAAATTTGAACAAAAATAAAACAATTATTCCATCTTTTGGTGATATTCTTAAATCAATTGAATCTCATTACATCTTTGACAACTTAGGTCATTAGCCTTAGGCTCGTATTTCTTGTGAAATAAACAAATTTTAATCATACAACTTCAATAATTCAATAAATAAAGAAATGAGGACACATATATTATTGCAAATTTACATCTATTTATTAAAATCATTTACAATTATAGAAATATGAATGTTTAAGTGGCATTCCAGATTTCGGCGAGTAATAATCGGTTTTCATAGAAACGGTCCAAAAACGTTTCAAACACGTTGGAAATTTCTTCAAAAAAATATTGTGACTTTGTAATAATAACCGCATATTCCTCGCTTGTAAAGTCGTAGGATTCTTTATTCCTCGCGATCTCCTTTAATACCTTACCGTTCTTAATGACTCTTTTCACGCTCCAATATCGATGTTCTTTTATATCAACCTTAAGCTCTTCCATATTCTTAACTAAATCTCGTATTTTATCACTATTTTCATCTTGCTTGTATTTCGAATTGAATTTGTATAAGTTTTTTATTACGTCGTACCTTCTTGAATCAATATCAGTGAACTTGATGAATTCAGATTCCTTCAACAATACGTGCATTCTTCTATTCAATCGGATCATTTCAAACAATCCACTTTTATCTGATAGATTTTTAGCAATCCTCTCAGAGCGTTTAGCGATCAAATTAGCTTCAGTGAGAGAGCAAATCTCCCAGGTCAACCTCTTGCTGAACGTAGGATCAATGAGATGCATTAAACATGTCATCCTCTGATCCATATCATCCATCATTTCTACTAAATGTGCAGCGTGGCTGTTGAAGTTTTCGACAGACAATTCGAAAGCCTTAGTGTCTTTCTGCAAGTCGACGCAATTGAAGGTTTCAATATACTTGCAGGTTTCTTTCTCAAATTCTTTGTAGAACGCTGAAATATCCGCGTGTAAAACTTTCTTTCTACAGGACACTTCTTTGGGTAAACATTTGCTCTCTGGTTTCAACTCCAACTGGGAAAGATTATTCCAAATCTCAAAAAGACTTCTACTTTGTAGTAGCACGTGCAAATCTATCGAAAATTCGTACATCTTTTTTACATGTTCTACTTTATCAATGTCACTGTCGTCATCGTGCCAAATGATTTCCAGTTGTTCACATTGTGAAGCAATCTGCTTTACTTTCATCAGAGCATCATGTATTTTAGTTCCATCAGTTGTGATGTTCGTGCCATCCATATAGTATACGCAATTATTCAAAATTTCCTTAATATTCACGTCCATCGCTGTTTGAAATTAATATTTTAACTAGAGACACTGACTATTCACTGGTTCAACTACACCAAAAACGTGAAGGTTTGAGCTCTGATGCTCAAAGAGTAGGGAATTCTTCAGAACTACCAATTTTGTAGCAGTAAAAAATAAAAATATGAGTTACAATAGTACCAACTGAGGTACATATTTCTATATCTTTTTGGACCGATAACCTCTAGGTATAATATCTTAGATAATTTTCATAATTGGTTTCTACATAATAAAGCAGAAGTGTTTTGGATACTATTTTCCCACTTTTTCGCTTTTCTAAATTGGTTATTCTGCTGTAGCTGCTTTAAAATCTAAATATAGAAACAATCTTCAAATGGAAAGGGAGCTCAATGTGATTATCTCGAATATAAAACCAAAACTGGACTGGCTGTATACTTCAAAAAATCCTGGGAAATTAATTAATAATACCATTACTAAAACGAAAAACAAAATTCCATAGATATATAAGTAAACCAAAATTGATTATGTATATAAAGAAAAAAATTAACAAACTTTGTAATTGCATTTCTAAATTTATAATGATTGTTGACACAAGATCTAAATAATTTATTTGCACATCTTTCTCTATTTACCATCTAAAATTTATTAAAATATAATTTATTATTAATTATTCTATAATAACTACAATATTTAAAAATGTTTACTCAATTACCTCTACATATTTTTTTCAATAATATATTGAATAAAACATATTAATTTAATAAATGTAATATATAATATTACAACAATGATTGTGAACGTTGAAATTAGAATAAGAAATATATTCTATCAACATCAATGACAGCTGTCAATGACATTTGTCAACATATGTCAAAACCAGGAACTGATGAAAAGGTGTAAAATTAGACTATTGATAAAATATTCCAATATTCGATTATGAATCGACGATTAGTTTTCTTTCAATTAAAATGTTGCAAGAAATACATAAAATAAAAAAAAATGTTGTTGTTCATACTCAAATATATTTGTCAAATTAATTGTTAAACTTTTTACCGTTTAATTATTTTGTTTAATGGCAGAAGCAGATTGATGACAGATGACTGGCAGATTTTTGGAAGAAGACTTTTAGGTCTGTAAAATTTCATTTATCAGTAATGGTTTTCCAGATTTCTGTAAGATAATTATTATATATATTTAATAAATAACTATAATATTTCAATTTAGTATCGATCAAGAAAATAATTCTAATTAAATGCGTCACGATCTTGTACATTTAATGTTTTATAATTATTCTTAATTAACCATTAGCAAAGAAGAATAATACATGAAAATTTTAAATTGAAATATTCTTGGAATTGTAATTAATTATAAATATAAATTAAGGTTCCTGTTATTTCCAAAGAACTAATTATAAAAGTAAGAGAAAAGTTTCTAAGATATATTTCCTAGAATATATTTTCCCTATGAGATATCCTTCCTAGAAGATTTGTGCCTAAGTTTTGCTGCTATGTAATTGGCCGTTCTTAAGAACCTCCTACCCTTCAAGCATCGGAGCTCAAACCGTTCAAGTATTTTGTGTAAAGATATAACACAATTTGCTAGTAGGTTTAAATAAATAGGAAAACAAAATGTATTAACTATGTTTCCCTTCTTGCAGAGTGATTCAGTGGAGTTTTTCTTGAATAACATAGATAGGATATCCAAGGCAGATTACATTCCTACAAATAAAGACATCTTGCACTGCAGGAACACAGTACCCATCCTGTTTGTGGATGTGGGAGGACAGAGGTTACAGCACCAGAAGTGGTTTTAAACCTTGTTTTCATTAACACACAAAATAAACACAAACTGAGCTCGTTTAAATTTAACTATATTTCTACAAGAAATACAAAACATATATTTCAGTTCGACACATGATGCGATACGGACGTTTTATTGATAGCACTCGGTGTTTTTTCGAAAATAGTCATTTTATTGATGAATTTTCTTTTAATTAGTGCTGTGTTCAAGAGTGCACTATTTTCTAACGGAGCAGTGCTTGAAATTGTGGGGGCGAAAATTCCTCATGTTTTTCTTTGCGTACGTGCAACTGAACACATGGTCGGGGCAGAAGAGACGGCCGGACAAAAAAGAAGAATCTAAGCAAAAAACGAACAAAAACTATATTCCACTATCTCTCAGATAGACGAACACTTTCGAGACAACTCAAACAGTTTCAATCCAACCTGCTTCAAGAAGCTATTTTCTAAAATAAAATAACTGAACCAAATTGTCCACACGTATCTCAAGATTATGCATGCACTTACAGAGAGTAAACTAACTCATCCTACGAAACAGCCACAACACATCGTTCTCACTAAGATGGATCAGGACAATACCAAAGCTGAAATTCGCCTGCACTTCAAATCAACAGCAATCGCCACATATTATGCAAACAAATATTTTATGCAATAAAATCAGGATATTAACTGGATGCTCTGTCTCCTATCAATTGAAATGCTTCAAATATCACGGCCAACATTCTACAAACCTCTGTACGTCTCCACGAAATGTAATTCTGAGGTAATTCATGCAGCATGGTCCACAAAATGACCGAAGAATCAAATCGTAAAATAAAAAACCGACAGAGCTACCAAAAACCTTACAAAATCGTTAGAACAAGCTTTAGATTTTTTCAGAACAACAAGAAATACAACTAGAAAGGCTAATGCACCAAGAATTATAAGAACGAATGACATTTTTAATTGACACATAATAATCTTTACACGTAGAATAAAGGGCATAACGGAATTTGTGATTATAATAAACATAGCACTCTTCCTGTTTATGGATGTGGGAGGGCAGAGATTACAGCGCCAGAAGTGGTTCTCTTGTTTTGATTGTGTTACATCCATCCTCTTCGAGGTGTTCTCCTCAGAGTTTCATCAGGTGCTGCTCGAGGATAGTAAAACCAATCATCTGGAGAAGAGCCGCAACATCTTTGATACTATAATCAATAGCCAAATCTTCTCCAATGATATTAGAGAATTTGTGACAGTAAAAAAATCCAAAATCGTTAGAAGAAGCTTTAGATTTTGCAAAACAAAAAGAAATTCAAGTAGAAAGGATAATTCGCCAAGACAAATTTTATTTTTTGAAATTGAAATGTTAGAAAATATTTTGAATCAACGTAACTTTAATTGTGATAGGGTAGAAATAATTGAAAATCAAAATAATTATTAAGTAAATTATATGAATGTTGAAAAAAAATCAACAGTGAACATAAGAATAGAAAGGGAGGAGAGACGCGACATCTTTGATACAATAATAAATAACCAAAACTTCTCCAGTGTGTCCATCACATTATTTATGTACTACCTTAATGCGGAAAGTCCCAAATCCGGAGACGGATATATCCTGGTAATTTCCACAATTCACCGAATTTTTCCAATACATTTAGATTGGAATACTTGGATTTTTTTAAATGTTCGATGAGCTATCTGTTGCCCATAACTGGATAATATTACTATGTACACCTGCTACTTGTACTTCAAAGTCAACTGCTAATTTTGCGCGCAGCAACTAATACAACTTTCTGAATTTTATTTCTATTTATTTATGCTTTGCCTAGATATAGTCTTTTAAGGTTAGTTGTGCGTCCAGGTGCATTCCCAAGTATCTCACCCTTAAAGATGCTGGAACTACTTTGTTGTTGAGTTGATTGCACTGATTTCGACTGGTTTATACCAATTCTCCATTTTC